TAATGAGAAAGCTGGTGAATCAGAAAAAGGCTAAATAGAATCAAACTGCTTAAAATCTTTACAATTCATATTAGCTACTGAAGTCACACAAAGGTTCCACCAGAAAGTAGTTCACCAAGGGAAATTAGGAGATTTCCACAGACTGGGTAGGAAGTAATCCCCAAGTCCTAAACAACCAGCACATTGGGGAAAAGTGGTGCCTTCCATAACTATTTACATGCAAAATAGATGTTCCTAAGGACCAAAGGAATTTTACTGATACTTTATCATACTATTAATTAAAATGTCTAGCCAGAAATGAAGACAGACTTATTTGTGCTGGCACTATTGACATTTTGGGTTGTTGCAGGGTTTTGTGGGTATCTTTAACATGTTTACCAGACTATGAGTAGCAAATGTACAGTCTTAAGTTTTTTGTTGTGTTTGTTCTCTTCTTTGGGGGGGGAGGGGAGACAGGGTCTCATGTATCCCAGGCTGCCTGTTAACTCACTTTGAGTATAAAATGGCTTTTAACTTCTGATCTTCATGCTCCACCTAAATGCTGGGATTACAGTCCCCTGGGATTGATCAAACAGGGTTGTATGTATGCTAGGTAAACTGATCTAAGTCTCTAGTCCTATTTCGCCAGAACTGCCAAATTTCCCTCAGTGTGGGGCATGATAAACACCCTAACTGAGAGGCACTGCCTATGATTAAGGGGTTTTGCAAAAAGGAAAGGCCTTGTAATCAAATGGACTATATCACATAATGGTTGAAAATCTCAAGGAGGATAAGTGAGGTATCCTACTCACCTCATCATGCAAGAGGATCTTGAGTTAAGGATAGCCTGTTCTGCAAAAATGGCACCCCCCCCAAAAAAAAAAAACTGAAAACCTCAATGGACCTAAGTTTTACCTAAGTTTTAGTATTTAAAATGTGGACTAGGCCTGTGAAAGAGTCACAAAAAAATAATAAGCCCAGTCCTGGTAAAATTTACACCAGGTAAAATAAAAGTGTGCGCCATACCAGTGCTCTCACTACAGCCTAAATTCTATTCTTGGCATCCAGGGAATCCCAAGGGACCAGTAAATCCAATTCCAGGAGCCTTGAGATTTGAATGGGGAAAAACACATATCTGTATTTTTTCACTAGCTGAAAAAAGAAAACATTTTCTCTCATATGTATCAACTCCTACCCATTATCAACAATGAAATCTTTTTTGTTTGTTTTTCTGAGACATGGTTTCTCTGTGTAGCCCTGGCTGTCCTGTAACTCCCTCTCATCCTCTGCCTCAAGTGCTGGAATTAAAGGCCTGTACCACAACACCCATCTCATATTTTGTCATATGTTCCAATTGAAAATAGTGATTTTGTTCTGCAGTGGTCTGAAATTCTACATTTTTTTACTAGTCCTGTTTCTCCTAGCACTCAGGAGGCAGAAGCAGGAAGATCTCTGTAAATTCCAGGCCAGCCTGGTCAACAAAGTTCCAAGACAGCCAGTGCTACAAGGGGAAATCCTGTCTCCAAAAACCACAAAGAGAGGTAGATGGTCATGGGGATAAGAAGCACATGTTACTTTGGGGAGGGGCATTTTGAAAATGTAAGTAACTGTTAATTCATGCACCTAAAACATCAGTTACAGGGTGGGGATGTGGCCCAGTGGCACAAGATTGCTTCACATGCATAATGCCCTGTGTCTACCTTACATAATGTCCTAGGTTCCATCCCTAGCACCACACTTAGAAGTGACAATCCAGGGAAAAGGACCCCTACACCAAAACCTTTTCATCTAAGAATACTCCTTACGCAGTCTACTATTCATATTAACCAAGATTTTTGTTACAAAAGTAATGTGTAAATCTGAGGGACACTAGCAAGAGATTACAATGCCTCATTCAGCTCTAAACACCCAGCATCCTGATTAGCTGCTGGGACCAAAACAAGAGAGTGTATCCTCCACCAGTCAAGATACCCAGCTACACCATGGGACCAATTTTTTCCCCCTCAAGACAGGGTTTCTCTGCGGCTTTGGAAGCTGTCCTGGAACTAGCTCTTGTAGACCAGGCTGGCCTTGAACTCAGAGACCTGCCTGCCTCTGCTTCCCGAGTATTGGGATTAAAGGCATGCACCACCACTGCTGGGCCCCAATTTATTATATTGTTAGCTTTGAGCTGAAAAAAAAATCATGTTTCCTGGAATCAACTGTCCTCAGAGTCCAACACTTTCCTTACAGGACAAGCAAAGATGAGCTTTGTTGGGCTAGAGAGACGGCTCAGCACTTAAAAGCACTGGCTGTTCTTTCCAGAGGATCCAGGTTAAATTCCCAGCTCCAAATGGCAGCTCACAATTGTAATTCCAATTTCAGGGGACCAGCCACCCTCACTCAGACACACATGGAGGAAAGACACCAATGCACAGAAGATAAAAAAAATAAAAAATGAGCATTTGTTTTAGCAAAAACCACTTTCTGGGTTACTTCATCAGCAGGTACACTAAATACTACCACCAGACTTAAGTTAGCTTGCATTGGTAACTATGTTAGAATGGAACAGAAACAATAACATTGCTAAGTTTAATTCCACTGAAATCACATTATGAAACTGCTCCATTAGGAAGGATTACTGACAAGGGGGGGAGGAAACAGACATGTACCCAAACTTCACAACCATTTGACTCACCCTTGAGTCACATCCAATACTTACATGCCAAGAGTAATGCCTTTGACTCATTATCAACAATTAAATGTTTTTAAAGACCTCACACATGGATCTCTCACCAAGTACCCCTTAATTGAAAAGGAAAGTAATTTAAAAATCCCTATGATGTAGTCAAATCACCCCATTTCCCAAATGTGACTGTGGATAGTAAGGACATGCCTTAGGCTTCATTTAATGACAGCTTTCTTTGGTATCATTAGGTTTTTGAGAAAGGATGTCGTATCTATATAGCCCAGATTGGCCATGAACTTACTGGAATTCTCCTGCCTCAGGCATGAGCCACATGTGCCCAACCCATCATAGCTTTCTTGTCTATTTGTTATTGTTTTGAGAAAGGATCTAACCATGCTGAAACGGATTTAGATATTTAAGACCCACCTGGGTGCTGGGATTAAAAGTCTGCCAATATGCCTGGCTGCAGTTGTCTTAGTTTTAATTAGGAACAAAGTGCAGAGTTAAAACATTAACAGCTAATGCTTGATATTTCCCTCTTAAGCGCCTTTCACTGAGCTTTACATGTGCACTCACCTTTATTCTCAATGTTTAAACTAGGAGGAAGGTTTAACCTTCTGTGGAAGTGCTAGAATTTTTCTGACCCCACACTAAGCTCACTATCCCTCAAGCCCACTATAAAGCTCAAGAAGGATTTATAAGTGTTCCCATGGTGATTATATGAGGAACATATCCCCCAAATTCCCCCCTTCCCCGTTGGGAGGCCTTTGGCCTGCTCACCAGTTTCTTCACATTCCTCACTACTAAACTCACAGTGCTAGAACTCCCATTAACCAGTGAGCCTTGAAAACTGCCAAGCTAACACTCAGTAAAGCCTTTGTGATCTTACACTCTTCTGCAGCTCTACCACCCAAGTACCATCTTATCTATGGATTCTCCCCACAGCTGCCTCCCTTCCCTCCACTTCCTAAGTGGGAAGTGACCTACACTACTTTTTTTTTTCAGCTCAATTCTGACCACCCAAGCACAATGACTTGCCTAACAACCCTATAGTTTACAGGTACACAGTAAAAGCCCTGAGGTGTGCACTGTCCCGTCCCTTCCCTTCCTCTTCCTCCCACCCCCTCCAACCCCGGAAAGAGAAGATGCAGATGTGACTCAAAATCGTTAAGAAAAAGCAGACTGAAATTCATGTTTTGCTCCAAATCCCAAGATTTTATTTTTTGTCTTTAAACTATCAATCTTGTGCTCTCTGAAATACTTTAGAATTGGAGGAAAAGTGCTCAGAAGTTCGGAAAAACAATGAAGTCGATGTAAAAAATCCTAACAGAAAAGGTCTTCCATCAGTGGAGAAGCCAGAGCAAATACAAGGTCTGGGCAACACACTACATGTGGGATGATCCGGAAAATGCACATGCAAGTCTGCAGCAGTCTTTTAAAAGCCCCATCATTCCCGCCCCCAGAGCCCATGCTCGATTCTCTCAAAGAAGCCTGCACTGCATCCCTACCCTTCAAATTCCAGTACGCAATAGATCCTCTCAACCTTTTCTGGGGAGAAGAGGCTCTGCTTTCTGAGCATCCCGGATTAGAGGTGATGGTGGTGGCTATAATTCCCGCGCCCAAATCTTATGCTTCCCCACCCCCAATAGTAATTTCCTTTTTCTGTCTGCTGGGTCCCTTTTCTGAGGATCCATCAGTCTCCTACACAGTGAACGAAGAACCTTGCAAACGCCAAGTGGCCCTGATCCTTCTCTTGCCCTGGCTGTCCGTAAGGGGGAAACCCCCACCCCCACCAAGATGGAAATTCAGCAGCCTGCCAGCACAGGAAAAGGTAGCGTGGGCAGTAGTCCCGCGCCGCGCACACCCCTCGCCCAGGCCTGCCCGGAATGGGCTACAGCGCTCGGGCACCCGCCCCCAATGGGGATCTGCAGCGCCCCACAGCCTGAAAGGGATTTCCCCCCGCCCCTAGCGAGGCGTGGAGGGGGGCGAACCCGCGTGGACCCACGGTCCAGGCCCGGAAGGGCGGTGCGGCTGGCACACAGCGACAAGGCTCCTCCAGGCCCCCGCAGCGCGGCCACGAGCGAGCTCCGCGAGGACCAAACCCAGCGGGGACCGCAGGGACGCGGCGCGGCCTCCGCCGATGCACGAGGGCCAGCAGCGTGCTCAGCGCCGCAGCCGCCAGGGAGACGCAGGCGCCGCGCGACCGCCCGCATTGTTCAGCCCGCCGCGCGCGCCCCGGTGCCTGGCCCTGGCCTCAGCCCCGCAGGCGCGGAGGGAATGGTCGCACTGCCGCCGCCAATGCTACTGCTGCCGGCGCCGCTGCGACCGTGCAGGTGGCGATCGGCGCCCTCACCTTTGGCGCCGAGCGTGAAGTCGAGCGTGCTGTGCCTTGCTGCTGCCATAGTGTGGCGAGGCCCTGTGCCATGCCTGGGGAGGCGACCGCGGGAGACTGAGGGACCGCGCGGCGTGTCAGGCTGCGGGCCGGCGGGGAGTGCACTGCGCCGGGGGAGGCCAGGAGTAGGAGGTGGGCGGGGCCGCGGGGAGCGACCCGGGGCGCAGGGGCGGGGCTGACCCGCCTCCTAGAGGAAGAAGCAGGGACGCCTCCAGCCCCGAACTTGGAGAGCTGGGTGTGAGGCCTCCCTAATGGTGGAAACGCGGGCGCCTGCTCCCTGGTGTGCGTCACCAATGGCCGCGCCCTGCTCTAAGGCTCTGGCCAGGCTCTCCCGCCATTCGCCATCCGTTAGGAGGTCACCTCAGTTTTAAACCGCTCATTGCGACTTCCGGGGGGGCCTCCCTATACACTTCCCTATATGCCTATCCCTCCTTCCCAAGCCAAGGCCCCAGTTACTTCCTCACCATGTGAAAAAAATAAATAAATAAAATGCTAGGATCTACCCTCGTAGCCTAAAAGTATAGCTTGCCTTTTCCTTAAAATGCACAAGAAACCCATTGGGATTATTAGTAACATTTCTATTAGTAAGGGGTAGTATTTGACAACAGAATAGAGTGTTCACATACATTCAAGTGGCATACATTTTCATGCAAAATAGGAAAACAAAAGAATCAAGGACTAAACCTGACTGAGAAGTTGCAGATTTGAGAGCCTCTCCCTCAGGACTTCCCCCTCCATGGTTCCTCTGTTCTTTTCTATGAGCCTACAGCCTTGACCTAATTTTCGACCATTGGTAGTATTCAACAAAATGGGACAAAAGAGAAGTAAAGTGCCTGTGAACGAAAACCATTCTTTATTGCAGGAGCAAATCCCTGGGCAAATGAGTCCATCATTGTGTGGGGTTCCTCTCCTGCATACCGGGAATTGTTGTACTGGTTGTTATACTTGAGGTTAGTGAATTCTGTGTCTCCTTAACAGCACAAAAAAAAAAAAAAAAAAAAAAAAAAAACAGATTTAAGCTTGGCTTTCGCTTAGGCAGCAGTTTCTAGTGGTGTTTTGTTTCTTTTGGTTTGGGTTGTTTTTTGTTTGTTTGTTTGTTTTGTTTTGTTTTCACATGTTGGTTTTTTTTTTAATGAGCCCTTCACACTTTCCTGCAAGAAGATAGCAATGACTTTGTAACAGTTTCAACACTCATTAAACTATATCCCTTTTCTTTGTTCTGTTGTTGCTTCCTTCTCTGGAGAACAGGTCCCACTCTATCAGCCTGCAGCTCCTCTCTGTCCCTTTCTTCTGGAATCAAGTCACTGGAACATAGTTGTTCTCCTGTGTGTTGCAAGGGCTGTAGGAGCTTCACAAGCAGGGCACACGCCACATTCCCTGCTCAGCAGTGGGATAAGCCACCTGCCTGCTCTTACTCCACTATCTGCTGTCACTACCTTTAACTTCTTAAGAATTTTTAACAGAAGGTATTGAGGTTGACTGAAAAGTATTTGGCTGGTCCTGCTCAACAAATTGTGTAGGGCAGTGTAGGTTGCCGTGGGCTCCTGATTGAAACAAATCCTCCCACAGAAATTGCACTTCACCTTGCAAAATGTGAAATAAGCTGAGATGAAAGCTCTTTAAGGTGCTTTGTCATTAACTGATGGCAAAAGAGAGCCATGAAGTAAAATGGAGTTTACCAAAAATGCCTCAGGAAGATAATAAAATACGAGCAATAAATGAGTCTTGATATAGGATCAACATTGTTGGGTGGTATTAGCAGTTTACTACAAGGATCTTCCCAAATCTACACCATCCTGGCAAGACTATTAAAGATAGGACATGGGAGCCAGGCGAGAAGGGATGGTGCAACCCTTTCATCTCAGCACTCCAGCATAGGTAGGCTGACCTCTGTGTGTTTGAGACCAGACTCGTCTACAGTGTGAGTTCCAGTACAGCCAGGACTACACAGTGAAACCCTGTCTTAGAAAGACAAAACAAACAGAAAAATAGTACATGGGAAGAAACCAAAGGCCTCTATAAACATCTCCAACTGTGCTATGACTACCCATTTTGATTCTGGAACATGTTTTCATTGCTTGAGTTTTTGCAATCTAGACCCCCAACTTTGAGGGCTGTTTCAAAACTAATCATTTAGGATGTGGCTGATGACTGTATCATAGTTGACCACTAAATGTAATTAGTCAGCTGTTACAACATCAAAGAGCTCTTTGACTCCTCTTGCAACAACAACAACAAAAAAGCAGGAATTCTCTATAAAGTAATATTTTTATCTTTGTGGTGGTATGAATGAGAATGGCTCCCATAAGCCCACATGTTTGAGTAAGTGGTCCCCAGTTGGTAGAACTGTTTGGGAAGAATTAAGAGGTGTGGCCTTGTTAGAGGAGACCTGTCACTGTAGGTGGGCTTTGAGGTTTCCAATTATCTCTCTGTCTCATGCTTGTGAATCAAGATTTGAGCTCTAAGCTCACTTCTCCAGTTCCATACCTCTCTGCCTACTGCCATTGTCCCTGCCATGATGGTCATAGACTCACTCTCTGAAACAATAAGCCCCCCAAAAACTGCTTCTACTATAAGTTGCCTTGGTCAGGGTGTCTTAGCACAGCAATAGGAAAGTAACTAACACAAACATGAAATGTCCCCACACATGCATAAATTGAAGGCCTGGTCCTCAGGTGGTAACAGTCTTTGCCACCAAAGGTAGTAGAAACTTTAGGAGGCCTAGCTGGCTGAAGGAACTAGGTCACCATGGGTGTGTCTTTGGAGGTATCTTGTTCCTGGCCTCTTGCTGTTGTTCTCTGCTCCCTGGTTACCATGAAGAAATTTTGCTCCTGAAGCACTTCTGCCATGATGTTCATCTGCCTAATGATCCAAAAACAATGGGGGCAGCTAACCATGATGGAGAGCATAAGCCAAAAGAAAGACTTTACCTTTTTGAGTTGTTTGTGTTAAGTACTAACCCATTAACCATAGCCTACTCTTTGAAACAACTTCCTGGTTGACAAATTTTTTTCCATTGGCAAAAATGTGAATAATATGGATTATTCATAGCCAGACATTGGTGGCACATGCCTTTAGTCCACTCAGGAGGTAGAGGCAGGCAGATCTCTGTGAGATGGAGGCCAGCCTGGTTTATAGAGCAAGTTCCAGAATAGGTTCCAAAATAATACAGAGAAACCCTGTCTGGAAAAACAAAGGCAAAATAGAGGAATGAAAAAGCAAAAGCTGCCTTACTTCCCAGGAACTGGTGTTGAAAGGATGAAAAAATACAGCCTAAGTCTCAAATGACCACAGGAAGCTAAAAGTTTAGAAATACTATCTAAAAAGCCCTAAAAAACCTCAAATTCCAGACCCTGTCCTCTGCCAGTAAATAGGCAAGGTCACACTCCTTGCTGTTTATGACAGACAGGCCCTTGAGTACATAATCCTGATAACAGAAAATGAGCTGACTAACCGCTTATCTGACTTTGTAAACTGCTTGTGAAGCCCCCTCCCCAGTGACCTATGTGTGGGCTTTGTTGTAAACCCTATAAAAACTGTCTCAATTCTGCCTCGAGGTCCTCAGCCCGATGACTGTGGACCTCAGTGCACCTGAAATAAAAATTCCTTGTGCTATTTGCATTGAGACTGCTTCTTATGATTGATTTGGGATGTCGCCTTTCCTGTGTGGGAGCATGAAGGTCCACACTCTGCAGGTCTTTCAGTGTGTGCTATGAGAAATAATTCCCCAAACACTAAAATCCAATAAGCCAGTCTGTCCTGCTTGTGCCCGGACAAGGCACAAGCAAAGCTACTCCATAATCATGACTCCACATGGACAAAATGTGAACACTGTTCAAAGCACAAAGGTGATCAGACACTGCCCAGTCTTGCTAATAGTGATGCCTACTGCTTCTCTACCAAGCCCAGGTTTATTCTAGCTCTTATTTGCCCCACTTCTAGGGATATTTGCTAAGATGCTCAACCATAGACATATAGCTTTGGCACTATCCAACCCTGACTCCCTGAAATGCTCCCCAAACCACCTGATGCAAATCCCCTAAGTCAGCCTCTCTCTCTCATCTCTGGCTCAGATGTCCCAAGGTCCCCAAGGTGTATGTTCTTCCAAACATGATGAAAAAAGCTTGTTGAACTCCAGAGATATTCCCAAGAGTATGTTACTGGAGAGTAGTGAGAATGTCAGTAATAGTATGACATCATAGCTTAAAAGTAAAAAAAAAGAAAGAAACCTGTTTAACAACATGTTATTTCATGTTAGGCCTTAGTTCTACCCAAAAGTCATTTTGAAATGGGCATACTTGCTCATTAGCCTTTGAGCCATGTTGGATATCAGCAACAGAGTTTTTATAAAGTCAGAGGAAGAGCTGCACTTGGCACAGATAGCAACAGAAACTACTAAGAGGAAAGAAGTTCAAGATGGTGATGATGGTGATAGTCACAGTGGAGGAAAGGCTAAGGTGCTTAACTGGAAATGTTCAAAAGCTGTAAGAGCCACTGGAATGTCATCCATTTTGTTGCCATTCTTAATTTTGTTGTTTGTTTGTTGTTTGGTTTGTTTTGAGATAGGGTTTCTCTGTGTAGCTTTGGAGCCTGTCCTGGAACTAGCTCTGTAGACCAGGCTGGCTTCAAACTCACAGAGATCTGCCTGCCTCTACTCCTGAGTGCTGGGATTAAAGGTGTGCACCATCAACACCCAGCTCTCTGTTGTCATTCTTAACTGGCCTCTTGAAGGATGGTAGAGTGGGAATGGGAGGAAGTTGCAGCTCTGAAAAGCTGCCTGACTACCAAGGGCAATAACTCTCCATTTTATTGCTTAGATTTCTGCTTTTTTACCATTTCACATGGGAACCCTGGAGATGGTGTATGAACACATTCGAGTGTGCATGCACATGCACACACACCCTCCTGTGTGCAGCTGAGGTGAAATCACTTCCTCTCTTCAAAATTTGGCATTCCATACTAGGCTTTGAATAGCTGTTAAAAATCTGGATTACTCCCTTACCATTTTTTCCAGTTGGATATGGGACTCGCCCAGCTATGTAAACACAACAGTATTTAAAATGCTGATTTAAAACTGTGGAACTAAAAGAGAGGATTGGATCTTTGACAGTGATTCACAATTTCAGCTGCACACAAGAACCACCTTGGGACTTTAAACACATGGCTGCTGCCTGAGCATCAGCCTTAGTGTGTCATTAGGCATAGCCGTTGCTTTGGAATTGTAAAAAACAAAACAAAACAAAAAAAAAAAAAAAAAAGAAAGAAAGAAACAAAACCTAAGAACCTAAGAGAGTCCCATATAAAGCCAAGAGTAGTACTGCCAAATCCTAAAGCAGTTTATGTCATAATAGGTATCACTACACTTCACATTCACACAGATAGCCAGAATAAACAAATGTGAAAAGACAAAAAGTAAGGAGTGTGGGAATGCAGGGAGACTGGAACTCTCATGTGTTACTCTGGGGGATATAACAAAATGCATCCATCCTCTGTGGAAAATTTGACATAGTGCTCTTGCTCAGTGGTAGATTGCTTTAGCATGCCTGAGGTCCTGGGACCTATCCCCAGCACTTAAAGGAGGGGAGGGATGATGAGATAATTATCATATGATCCAATACTTCACTCTTGGATATGTACACAAAATAATTGAAACTAGGTGTTCATGAGAATAAATGTTTATGGAAGGATTAGTCACAATGCCACAAAGGTGGAAACAACTCAAATGTCCATCCATAGAGGGACAAACATGTGATATATTCATGTAATGTGACATTCATTACAGGAATGAATGTCCTGATATGAACAAAAAACCAAGGCATCATGATAAGTGAACAAGCCTTAGAAGAAAACTTATTTATGTGAAATGTCCACAATAGGTAAGACCATAGAGACAAAAGAGAGTCAAATGTGAAAGTCTTTACTGTGCTAGAGCTACAGGTTTGCTTTTGGGGTGATGTCTTGAAACTAAATGGGGCCAGCAAACTAGCTCTGTAAAGAAAGGGTAAGGGTGCCACCAATCTTGACAACCCAGTTTCCAAATGGCAGAAGGAGAAAACTGACTCCCATAAGTTGTGCTCTGACCCCAACACCCATGCAATGGCATGGTACAAGCCCAGGTTCTTTGAAGACACACATGCACACCCTACATACATACACACACAAAATAATAAATATACACACTACTCACATACATAATACAGAATACAAATAATAAGTAAAAATAAAGTTTAAAACCTCAATAGAGAAGAGCATAATGTTGCAAGCCTATTTTAAAAATAGATTTTTTTTTTTTGGGCTGGGTGTTGGTGACACATGCCTTTAATCCCAGCTCAAGAGGCAGAGGCAGGCAGATCCCTGAGAGTTCAAGGCTAGCCTGGTATACAGAGCTAGTTCCAGGACAGGCTCCAAAGCAATACAGAGAAACCCTGTCTTGAAAAACCAAAAAAAAAAAAAAGAAAAGAAAAGAAAAAGAAATAGATTTTTTAATATTTTTAAATACAATATATTCTAATTATGGTTTCTCTTCCCCCAACTCCTCCCCATCCTCATCCACTCCACCTCCTCATCCACACAAATCCATATCCTTTCTTGGTCTCATTAGAAAATCAACAAACATTTAAATATTAATAATAATACACTAAGATGAAATATAAAATAAAAACAAACATGAATAGGACAAAATTAACAAAAGAACAAGAAAAAAAGTGAAGGAAAAACATATACAGAGACACACACATTTACACACACACAGAAATCCCATAAAAACACAAAACTGGAAACCATAATATACAAGCAAAACACCTATAAAGTTAAGAAAAAATGTTCAGACAAAGCATTATAAGGCAAAAAACAAAACAACAAAAAATAGCCCAACTCCAAAAATACCATTGAGTTCATTGGTGTTGGTCATCCACTGTTGTACATGGGGCTACCCTTGAGCATGGTTTGTATACCCAGTGAGATTCCTTAGGAGAAAACTAATCTTTTCTTTGCAAGTGGTCAACAATTGGAGAAAGTTTCTAGGTTAGGGATGGAGGCATGTGTCCATTTCCCATCTCAACATTGGGACCTTTGTAAATAGCACATGTCTTTAATCTCACCACTCAGAAGATAGGAACAGGCAGATCTCTGAGTTCAAGGTCAACCTTGTTCCAGTTTAGTCATGGCTACATACATAATCAGACCTTATCTCAAAATATCTTTTGTTTACAAAACCTAGAGTTGGGTGTGGTGGTTCACGCCTTTAATCCCAGCACTCAGAATGCAGAAACAGGTGGATCTCTGAGTCTGTGGTGGGACTGAATGAGGTCCAGGGAAACCAGAGCTACATAGAGAAATCCTGTCTTGAAAAAACAAATAGCCTAAAACCTAAATAGATGTGACAGTTATACAACATGGCAAAGCACATTAATCCTTCATGAGATCAAACTCCCACAGGCTGATTTGCTCTTGAGGGCCCTGCCCCCTCAATACTGTTACATAGTGGGCCTCAACATTAGTTTGGGCAGGAAAAAAACACATTCAAACCTCAGCATAACTCCATCATGTTTGTATCATAGAGCTACTTAGAAACGTTTAATAAGAGAACTTCACCAAGTGAGGCAAATTTTAAGAAAAGCAAATTATTGATAGGACAGAGTTTAACTGAGAGGTTGTCAACCACAGCACGAGGACCTTAGGGTAGTCTCTCTAAGGCTTATGTGCTTCTACAAGTTCAAATGCTAAATTGCAGGGGCTGAGTACTTAAAAGCCCAGTGGTAAAGCACATACTTTGTATGCATGAAGCCCAGGGGCTGAGTACTTAAAAGCCCAGTGGTAAAGCACATACTTTGTATGCATGAAGCCCCTG